AATGAAGTGAATAGAACTGGGGGACAGGGTGCCCCAGGATGCTGCCTTATATACATGAGGGAAAACCCCCCAGGGACCGGTAATGGACCCCTGGTACCTAGCTGGGTAAGGATTACTAAGTATCATGTGCTCGATGATGTCATATATAATGTCATAGTCTGGCCCTGCCCTGCCCTGGGCCTAGGGTCCAGAATTGACTGGCCTATGGCCTAGTGCCTGAGCCTAGCTCCTACCTATGATGTCAGAATGATGTCATGGTCCAGAAGGAGTCTGGTTTCTATCTAGAAAAGGTCCGGCATCAGAGTCCAGCCTGATGTGTCCAGAACAAGATCATGTATCGCTTATTTAAGCGGATAACCCCTTAGATATGCAGCTGTACCCATATGCGGACAGATAAGTATGGATAAGTCCCTATACCCTTTGATATGTCCGCAGAAATAGCGGAAAAATTAGGTAAATTTAGGGAAACTGTGACAGTACCCCCGCCTCTAGCTTCGAGCTCTGTTGAGAAGTTTTGACCATTTGACCAGTGAAGTGCCTTTATGCTTTGGTAATCTTGAGATCACAATCAGCTATACGCTCAATAATGAGCTGAGCAATGGGGTCGCCTTTGGCGATCTTCAGCTCGGATGGTCCGGTGTTGGTGTCATGACTTGGCACGGCGTCTAGCTGTTTTTAGTTTTTTCCTTTTCATGGGCTCGAACCCGTGACCTCTGTACTACATGCCTGATATGGACGTGTCGCTATCTACTATACGATTAGATTAGATGGGGCAGCAGTGCGCGGCACAGCTCGGGCTCCGCTGACACAGCCTCTCTGACTCACCGGCCCCCGGGGCCGCGTCAGCATGCTGTGCACGGACCAGCTGTGCACGGACCAGTGTGCACAGCCTGCCCTTATCTCCCCATGTATATAAACCGGCCTCTGCTGCCCTAGGGACCTCAGTTTCGACCTCTTGTCCCTAGGTCAGTAAGCCTCTCTTGTATTCTTTCCTACCTTAACTCATATATTCACTTGTCCCTAGCCTTAGGTTTGAGCGTAAGCTCACCATCGCTTCAGTGAGACCCAGTCGAACGCCCCCAGCGTTTAGGTTTGTTCCTGTCGCTTAGCTTCAAGTCGCAACAATAGGTTGAAACTTCCTAATGCTGCCGGCGTTCCTCGAAACCCACACTCACTTCTCACTTCCTATAGGTTGGGTGGTGCGCACCCTTACAATACCATACGATACGTAGATAGCCTACATTACATCACCAACATTTAGGGAACGAACCTTTCAGCACCTGCACTTCAGTGGGTGGTGCTTGTCCTTAACCAGATGCGTGGACTAGGTTCCTGCTGCATACTAGCCAGAAGCAGTACTGGGCCCCACGTGAATCGCGAACCCTAGTGTCACCTCGGGCGCCGTAGGTGTAAGCTAGTCTACAACGGCCTTTCGTAGTATGCGCACCTCCCCTTCCTCCCTCCATCCATCATGGCTGAAGAAGCCTTCAACTGTGCGGGACTTGAGCACACATTTGACGCAGAAGATCACGTTGACGTCGCACAATTCGACGATCCCAGCTCCCTCTTCTTCGACTGTGACCGACAGCCGTGCCCTAACCGAACCCCGCGATCCATCACCGTTGAAGACGGACGCTTTGTGCCCATCCGACGAGTCCAGCATCCCCTTGGGCCCGATCTCAAATACGCATCCCGATCTGTCTCCCGCCACGTCACTCCCATCTCATCCTGACCCGCCTCTCCAGGCACCCACATCCCCCAACCTGTCACCAGTACAGGTCAAGCGCAAGGAGACCCCAATCTCCCTGGAGGAACTGAGGCAGTCGCACAGCCTCCAGCGACCCCTCAAGCGATCCCCCAGCCCTCCTTGGGGCCGCAGTTGGAAAGACCTCCCAAGGCCGAGCCCCAAGACACTCTGTCGCATTCTTGGACCAGCTCGTCGTCAGCAGTCCCCTCCCCGACTCCAGTCCCTGTCGTACGTCACCCCGCCACTGGACTTCCTCCGTCACCTCCACCGCTGTCACCGCTGCGAGGCCACGCAAGCACTCGTTCCTCATGAAGTTCACCCAGCGGACAGTCACAATAATCGCCTCCGTCCACAGGCAGTCCTTTGTCCCCCTCGTCACCGATAATGTCCTCTCCTGCTGCCGCCCCAGATAAGGAGATGTTGAAACTCCTCCTCCCACTCTGCTACGATGGGAAGTCGGTGGTCGAATGCAACCGGTTCATCTTGCAGTTGCTGATCTACTGGACGATCAACACGGCCCTCTCCACCATTGAGCTGAAGGTCCGGGTCGCCCTCAGTCTCCTTGACGGTGATGCTCAAGCCTGGGCCACTCCCATCTTTGCCCAGCTAGCGGCTGTGCAGATCCAAATCCAAGGAGCCACGTCCCCATTTGCTTATGAAGCAGCCTTCCTCATGGCTTTCAAAGCCCGTTTCGGCAATCTCGACGACAAGGCGGCAGCACAAGTAGAGCTGGCAAAGCTCTGCGTGGACAAGTCGGTCCATGAAAAACGCACCGCTGCGGAATTCTCCACGCTGTTCAAGGGTCTGGCGGACCATTCCGGGTATGGGGACCTGGAGCTACGCGACAAGTACCTGAGCGGCATCCCTTCCCGCGTCTACCGCAAAATCGAGCTGGAGACGTTCACCACGTGGCTAGAAGCTGAGAAGCGCGCCACTGAGGTCGAGCAGATTCTCGACATCAGCCGGGCCCGTCGGCCCGAGTTGAACAACTTCTTCTCAGCACGAGGCCGGGGACGTGGTGGGGCACGTGGTGGTATGCCCCAGTCGCACGGAGCTTCGGCCAGCATCAATGCGGCCGTTGGAAAAGGAGACTTCCCTGGTAGTTGCTTTGGCTGTGGGAAGCAAGGGTATCAACGTTTCGAGTGTCCCAATTGTAAGGACAAGCCTTACACAAAACGCGCCAACACGCGGGCTACGGTTGCCTCGGGCTCCACCCAGGCGGCGACAAGCGCCCCCGTCGCTTCATCCTCGGTGAGTACAAGTGCCGCTTCAGCGAAATCGGAAGGTTCCGAGCTGGCAGACTTGATAGCATAGATGAAGTCAATGCGCGAGGAGCTCGAGCATTATTGGGCCATGAAGGAGGAGGGTTTTTGATCCGGTCCGCGCTTCGTGCCACACGCGTCGGGCCGGGTATATCATGTAATCGCTATAATGTATTATCTGCTGCAAATGTGTACGAGGTGGACCACGGGTCCCAACATTTTCACATTCCAGTACGATTCAAAGGGAAAAGACAGCACAAGGATATAATCGCTATGGTGGACAGCGGAGCCACCACGAAGTTTATCAACAAGCGATTCATCACAGAAAACAAGGTGCAGACGCGGAAGTTGAAGGAACCAATTCCGCTGTACAATATCGATGGCACCCTGAATAAAGACGGAAGCATCTCAGAAGTAGCTGTGCTACAGATGCAAATAGGAGAACATGTCGAGAAGACAGTGTTTACGGTTACGGACATCGGTCCAGAGGATGTGATCGTTGGGTTGGATTGGCTACGCGAGCACAACCCCGAAATCAATTGGGAGGAAGGCTCCCTCAAGTTATCCCGATGCCCTGAAATGTGCAGTGCCAGGAGGACTGGCCGGATGGAGCAAGCAGCAACTGCGCGTGATACGGGGGTCAGGTCCACGGCGCGCAGGCGTTCACCGAAGTCCAAATGGTCGGTCATAGGCGCCTGCCGGAGTAAGGTACTCCCAGACTTCGAACCCGAAGAAGATCCGGTAGAGGTCGAGTGGGATGAAGCTGACTTGATTGAGGCCTGGGAGCAGGGTATTACGCTTCCTGGCGCTCCTCAACTGTTTGTTGCAGCCGGGCACACGTATTCCCAGCTGTTTGCTGAGGAAAAAATCAAGAAGAAGGTCGTTAAGACCGCCGAGGAGTCAGTGCCGAAACAGTATCACGAGTTTCTGAAGGTCTTCTCCAAGGAAGCATCAGAATGGCTACCAGAAAGAAAGCTGTATGATCACGCGATCGAACTCGTACTCAGTTACTCGACCTTCCATTCGAAGGTGTATCCCTTGTCGAACAATGAGCAGGAGGAACTCAATAAGTTCCTAAAGGAGCAGCTGGCAAAAGGCTATATACGGGAATCAAAGTTGCCCATTTCGTCCCCCTTCTTCTTCATTAAAAAGAAGGAAGAGACGCTTCGACCCGTGCAGGACTACCACTGATTAAACGCGATCACAGTCAAAAATCGTTACCCCTTGCCACTGATCGCCAAGATGGTGGATAAGCTCCGCGGCGCTACGCTCTTTACGAAGTTCGATGTCTGATGGGGATACAACAACGTCCGGATCAAAGCCGGTGATAGGCGCCAAGCCCCGCTGGGCCCCGATACACCTCTTTTTGGCACTCGCATCCCGCCCGGCACTTCGACTCAGTCTCCCAACACTTCAATTTCGCCTTCGATGCTCTTCGACATCTTCGACGGTGCGCGACGCTTACTCGAAGCTCGGCACGGTCGTCCCGATGCCTCGCGCGTCGATCCCGGGACATCTTCCGCATACGGCGAACAATAGGGCCACTTGACGCCACTCGGCCAAGCGCGCGCTTAGCTCCAAGCCACACCGAAGTAGCCGGTCTTTCCCGATTAGGTATCGAACCTCGCGGCATGCCTTCACGACGGCTACTGGTCCGAAGTGGCCATATGTTTCTCTTCATCTCCGCGTTCGGCATGACGTCACTCCACCGATGGACTTGGTATGTGCCCCTCGGTGAGGCAGCTTCTTGAGGAACAATGCAAAGCCCCTTGTACCAGTGTGCCACTTTCGATAGTCGTAGCGTCCTGTGTAGTATAAAATCTGTCGTACTTCTCCAAAAATAACAAGATCCGGTTCCCCCCTCGACGTTCAGAGCTCATAAGTCGAGTTCGCCCCGCGTCTAAGCTTTCAAC